CATCTACCATGATGCTAGAATAGTAGTCCTGTTGTCAAAGATGGCCTGACCATCCAATACCCGTTACAAGGGGAGAGGGTAGTAGTATTCAGGTCCTAAGCGCAAAACTGAGAAATACACATCCATTAGAAATACATGATGCAGTAAATAGTATTGTTATCCAAAGGGCTTCATAAAATTTCAATAAAAAATTAACTGTTCTTTAATAAACGATTGTGAATAATGTCAGTCCACCCTTGATCTGAAGTAACAAAGACAGGAGAGGGTAAACTCAACAATGAACTAAGAAGCTGCCGTCAATATTTCTGAAGTTTCTCCTTTCCTGGACGCACCACGCTCTCCCTCTCTCCATCATCCCCGCAAATGAATACTTTGGTCAACAGCAACACTCCGCGGGTCCGAAGAATAGATTAATACAGAGTTCTAGGGCGGGCCWGCGTGATCCCTGTGACACATTAATAAAAGCTAATACCGCCGGGCGCGGTAGGGCACGCCACAATCCCAGCGGCTCAGTAGGTTGAGAGTGATCGCAAGCTCACAATCAGTCTCTGCAATTTAGCCAAGCCCTTAAGCCACTTTTGCAAGATTCTATCTCAAAATAAGAAATAAAAACGGCCGGGTATGTGGCTCAGCAATTAAGCACCTCTCGGTTCAATCTCTCATACAATTAAAAAAAAAAAAAAAGCTAAAACCACAGGAGTTGGGATTCTCAATAGCTTTGGGAGAAGAGACAGCTCGCCCACGGGGGTGTGGAGAGAAGCGGGTATTGACTACTGCGTCCTACGCCAGGCTCCACACCACTCACGCTCCTCACCTATCGTGTCCACGCGGTGCGTGAGAAGTAGGGTCCGGGAGCCGCACCGAGCGGCGGCAGCGGCTGCCTCGGTCCCAGCATGTCCTCCACCTATAACTACCACATCGAAGTGGGGGGAAGGCGCGGCGCTGTCTCGGCTTAACCCGGCAAACGGAAGGTGTTGTTTRGTGAGAGAAGTTGCGACCCTGCGGCCACAGCGCCGGAAGGAGAACATGCTGAGAGAAGACCACAAAAATCCAGACTTTCAAGCAAACACGAGCGAAACGCAAATAAATCTAGGGGACAGACAATCTACAGGGCGCAGCCATCTTCCCTCTGACGTCATGRCGTAGCACTCTACGTCCAGCGTCACCACTGACTGGCTGTTTGGCGCGACTGTAAGATCAGAGACACTGCCTAACGACGGACGKGACCCAGCGGGTGGGTGCATTCTTTTCCCGTCAACTCCAGTCTTTATGATTACTTACAGCTCAGAGTTGGGGGTTCCCACGGAAGTTCCTTTTTTGGCTTTTCCGGGAGTTGCAGTCATTATTACTAAATGGCCACCCTCGGACAATAAATTTGATAGGTTTGACTTACTATGTTCTTTGAATTTTCTGGTACATTATCGTCTTGTCTATAAAAACTAGAGTCTGAAAATACGAATAGATTCGAAAGAAGTTCAAATATATTGATGGATGAAAGACTCATAGTGGCCTATTAGTGGATTAAATGGTTGGAGACTAAATGTCCTGCTTATGAAATGTAATTTTTKGGGAGTGGTGGGGTGGGCCATACGGAGAATTGAACACAGGGGCACTTGACCACTGAGCCACATCTCCAGCCCTATTTTGTATTTTATTTAGAGACAGGGTCACACTGAGTGGCTTAGCGCCTCCCCGTGGCTGAGGCTGGCTTAAGACATAAGAGCCCCTGGAGTTACAGTCCTGCTCCTTGGTACCCGGCTTGAAATGTARTATTCTTAAAAATCTTCCTCAGATAGGAAATTTGACTAGGTAGAGAAGCAATCCATGTTGCAGTTTTACTGCTCTGATTATTAAAATTATCAAATATAACGCCAGGCACGGTGGTTCATGCCTATATCCCAGCTGATCCTGAGGCTGAGGCAGGATTCAGCTCAATCTAGCAAAAGTCTTAACAACAACAACAAAAACCAACTTCATTCCCCAGTACCAGGAAAAAAAAACCTCTCAAATATATCGTTTTGTTATCTTATTGAAAATAAACATTCTTTATGTGCAATTTAAACCTTACAGAAATACAAAAGAGTGTAAAGTTAAATGTCACTTTATTTTGAGGGTGGTAATGAGGATTGAACCCAGAGACACTTTAGCACTGAGCAACATCTCTAGTCCTTTTTATTTTTTTCTATTGGAGCAGGGTCTCACTAAGTTGCTGAGGGTTTCTCTATGTTGCCAAGGCTGGACTGGAACTTGAGATCCTTCTGCCTCAGCCTCCTGAGTTGCTGGGATTACAGGCATGGGCCACAGGCTCCCACCTTAAAATTTGAAGAGCTAAAGAACCCATAACTTGCCTGACACCTGCAATCCCAGAGACTCCTGAGGCAGGAGGATTGCAAATTAGAGGCCAGCCTGGGCAATTTAGCAAGACCCTGTCTCAGAAATAAAAAGAGCTGGGGATGTAACTCAGTGGTGAAGTGCCCTTGGGTTCAATTCTCAGTAGCACTCACCTCCTCACACAGAATAAAGATGTAAAAATCAAATAAATAAAATATATACACATAAACTAATTTCATGGATTTTCTTACTAGATAAAATCCAAGCTCCACATCAAGACTCAACTAAAAAGTCATTCCCACTGTGATTTGGACACCGGTTTCTGTGGCAAGATTGAGCAAAGAAAGTTTTCCTGGGCTGGGGTTGTGGCTCAGTGGTAAAGTGCTTGCCTAGCATACATGAAGTACTGGGTTCGATTCTCAGCACCACATACAAATAAATAAAGGTCCATTAACAACTAAGAATATTTAAAAAAAGAAAGAAAGTTTTCCTTTTTTTCCCTGGAGTTTTCCTCTTTTGACAGACCAGCAGTAGAATTATTATTTGATCTGGTCTGGTGAATTGTGGYTTGCACATTTTTGGTTGAGCAAATACTAATGGACTGTAGAGGATTTTAGAGATTGTTGGAAGAGAGCTTTAAACTGGTGGTGAAATCATTTACAGGATTCCATGAAAGCAGCCCTTCCCCATGGGTTCCACCTTCTAGGTTTGGAGTTTGGGCAACATGGGAAGTTGGGCCTTGTTCCAGCCTGGGTCATGGCATTGGAGGTGTTCATCTCTTCTGGGAAAGTAGGAACAGGCTGTAGGATTACACTGGGTGGGGGYACCCTGACACTGCCACCTTCCATGATGACTAACCACCTGCTCCAGATCTCCTTTTTTTCATCTCTAGAGGATGCATGGCTGCCTCCTTTTTTTTTTCTTTTTTTTTGAGAGGGAATGTCTTGCTAAGTTGCAGGGGGCCTGGTTAAGTTGCTAAAGCTGGCTTGGAACTTGCTATCCATCTTCCTCAGCCTCCCTAGTCACTGGGGTTACTGGCCTGTACCACAGTACCTGGTACTGCCTTCTTGTTAGTTTTTTGTGGGGATCACTTTGGTCAATAGGTAACTTAAASGGGGTTGATCCACAGGGATCCCATTGTGGGACTTGGAGAGAGGAGAGGGAAGCAGAAAAAAAGAAAGAGGAAGGAAGGAGAGAAAAGAAAAGAAATCAAGGCATTTTTGTCCATTGTCAGATAAAGGGATAAACACAATGTGATATGTATATACAATGAAATATTATTCAKCCATAAAAAGGAAGCATATTCTCATATATCCTACAATATAGAATAATTTTGTTTAAGAGAAATACTGTATGATTCCACTGACTTAAAGTACTAAGGGTAGTAAAATCACAGAAAGAGTGGTGTTTTCCAAGAATTTGGGGGAGGGGGAGTTGTTTAAGATTACAGAATTTCAGTCTTTCAAGACAGAATTGGACTCAGATGGATTCCAACTGGATATGGATTGATAGAGATGGTTCACAATGATGTAAATCTACTTGCCACTGAGTTGTACACTTAAAAATGGTTAAGATAGTTTTTACAAAGTAATCAAGGCTTTCTAAACCCAGGAGGTTCCTGTCTAAAATGTATTTCTATTAAGGAGGAAGCTTGGTTTTGTAAATAGATATTTGAAAGCCTACACTGAGATACTCTGGAATCACAATAGCAGAAGCAGTCTGGATGGTTTAAAAAATATTTATTTTAGTTGTAGATGGATACATACCTTTATTTTATTTATTTTTATGTGGTGCTGAGGATCAAACCCAGTGCCTCACACGTGAGGCACTACCCCAGTCACTGGGCCCCAACCCAGCCTGGAGGTTGTTTTGATGGGGTTTAGAGTCTGAGGTGGAGATGTATTTCAGTGATACAGCACTTGCCCAAGCAGGTGCCAGCCCTGGGTTAAACCTCATATAAAATCAACCAATCAATCAAAAAAGCCAGGACTTGTGGGTAGAAACTTTAAGATTTTGTATGCTTAAAAAAAAAAAAAAAGTTGGGCTGGGGCTATAGCTCAGTGGTAGAGTGCCTGTCTCACACATGTGAGGCACTGTGTTCTATCCTCAGCACCACATTAAAAAAAATTAACAAAGATAGCACGTTCATCTACAACTAAAAAGAAAATATTACAAAAAGTATGTCGTAAAACAAAGTCAAATAAAAGTGAAATACTTCAATCCTTATTCTATCTTGTAAAGTTTTAGTATTTTCTATTTCCYATTAAAAATAACAAGATACTCCTATTTAAACTTACATTAAAAAAGTTTCTCTGTCAACTTAAAATGTTAAAAAATATGCAGTTTTTTCAAAATAGTTTTAAACTGTGTGCCAGCAAATGTGTTTGGTCCTCAAAGTCCTTGAGGAAGTTACCTGTGTTCCCTAAGCCTTTGGCACTGCCTGCACTTGCCAGGCGACCTGGCGATGGAGAGCCCGCCACTTCCCGGCGGGGGCGTGGCTCCGCGTGACCTCCCGGTGTGGTTTTCCCTCCCGGTGCCAGCTTCCAGGCCGCAGACGCTGCGTTCGCGCCACATTTTTAAGTTTCATTTCTACCAGTCATTGCAAGTTCCTCCTTCCGTGGCCTTTTCCCGAAGTCGACTCTTCTTTCGAGCCACAGAGAGCACCAGCCATGGACCCCGGACGCAGAAAGGCGACTCAGATAACTTCGAAAGCCGGAGCTGCCACCCGCAAGGCTTCGGAGCCGGGTACGAGGGTAGCCCTGACCCAGCCTGGCGAGTCTCCCGCTGCTTCCCGGGCCGCTSGACCCGTGGGAAAGGGCGGCCCTGTCCGGGAGTCCCAATCCTTGCAGACCCAGAGCGCTCGGGATCCCCAGGAGAAGCTGCTGGAACGTGCTCCCGGAGCCCGATCGAAAAAGCCATCTCTGCGCGCGAAGGGTGCGCCGCCCTCGGGCTTTAGTAGCACCGACCGAGCCGAGTCGCGCACGGTTCCAGCCCAGGCAATGGAGCTCCCTCCGGCCCTGGGGCCGCCCCTTCCCAGGGCAGGGTCTCGCCGCGAGGGAGGCGCGCRTTCGGCTCGGGAACAGAGACCCCAGCCTGAACCCACGGAAGTGCCTTGCTCCGTCCCGCCGCTCCGGGCCCCGAGTCTGGGAGGGAAGGAAGGGGCGTCTGGCGGCTGGAAGCCCCGGGCTGTGCTGGAGAAGTTGAGGCTCAGGCGCCAGGAAATCTCAGCCGCAGCCGAGGTGGTGAACAAGGTCGTGGACCACCTGCTTAGGAGATTGCAGGACTTCGATTCCGAGTTCAAAGGTGTCGAGTTGCTGCGCACGGGGAGCTACTACGAGCGCGTGAAGGTGAGCTACACAGCTTTCGGGGTGCGACTTCCTCACCCGTTTCCCCAGTCTCGTATTCCCCASTTCCCCTGACTCGGGATCCCTGACTTCTCTTCGGAGGTAACTCTGACTCTTATTCTTCCGTGGCTTGTGACACAGCTCTAATTAGAACCACAAGCAATTGTCGGTTCATTTATTCATCTCTACATTCCCATGCAACCCACAGATACTGATTGCCAGCTACTCTCCAGACCCTGCTTTGAAGGAATTCAAATTTATAGATTCATTCATGCCAACAGATTACATACCTAGTTCCTTTAATAATTCCATGTGTGGTTGGTGTTGATCTGAGGTCCCAAGTCAGATTCCGWCTTGAATCATTTGAAGTTGTCTGTAAAAAAATCCCACCAAATTAACTTAAACTTTTTCCTATGAGGTGGAAAAATATCTTCAGTCTTCCCTCATCCCTACAGACTCCCACTCCAAGAGACCCCTCCCTCTCTCTTCAATTTTCTTTCATTGCCACTTCAGGGGATTGAACCCAGGGCCTCGTGYCTCTTTCCAAAATCTTGTACAGATGTCGTGGAAAGCTCATAGTGAGTGATTTTTTTTTAAATTAAGAAAAAATGTTCTACATCTACTAGAAAGCATAATTTCTAAACACATATCTGATATAATTGCTTTTAAGTGTGTGTTCCACAGCTCCATTTGTTCGTGGATAGTTGAGTTACTAGAGTAACATGTTGCTATAAATTGAAGGTTTGGGAGCAAGCTCCTGCCAGAAGTTTGTTTCCTGACCAGTGTCAGATTCCTTTGATTGTGTTTTTGGTCTGGCCAGTAAGTTCTCTCTCTCTCTCTCTTTTAATATTTTTAATTGTAGATGGACACAATACCTTTGTTTTATTTATTTTTATGTGGTGCTGAGGATGGAACCCAGTACCTCACACATGCTAGACAAGCACTCTACCAATGAGCTACAGCCCCAGCCCCTATGTATCTCCTTGAACTCAGTAAAATCATGTACAGAAATAGAGATAATATATGTTCATTAAGTAATCATAATTTATTTTAAAGTTATATATTAGCTTTATGCAACTGATGTTCTCTTCCAGTAGGTGGATGATTATAAAAGCTAGATTTACAGTTTTAGGATTTTAAACTCTTTCCTTTCCTCTTTGGTGTTTTTATAAAAAGCACACAAGAAAGAACAGGTTAATATTATGCATACTTTATTTCTAAGGCTTAACACAAGCATTTCATGGCAATGAATAAATAAATGGGCTCCAGAAGAAAGGATGGGAGCCCCCCGGCTGTGCTGGAGAAGTTGAGGCTTAGGCGCCAGGATCTTTCAGGATCCATACTCATCTTTGAATGTCTTCCTAAAGACACTCAAATTTTTTAAAAAAATTATTCTTAGTTATACATGACAGTAGAATATATTTTGGCA